CCTATAGCTGCTGCCAGGCCCCTAATCTGCCATAGGCCCCTATATACCGCCTCCTCATGCTGCTGCCAAGTCCAGAGTTCTCTCATGGGGTCCCTGTACGGCCCTCCCATTGCTGCTGTCTCCAACGCCACACTCTGCCATGTGCCACTTTCAGGTCTCCTCACACACTGCTGTTGTGTTCAATTTTTTGACATAGGGTTTGCTGGCAGATTACGGGCCTCCCATAGCTGCTGCCAGGCCCCTAATCTGCCATGGGCCCCTATATACCGCCCTCCTCATGCTGCTGCCAAGTCCAGAGTCTGTCATGGGTCCCTGTACGGCCTCCCATTGCTGCTGTCTCCATCGCCACACTCTGCCATGTGCCACTTTCAGGTCTCCTCACACACTGCTGGTGTGTTGAATTTTTTGACATAGGGTGCTGGCAGATTACGGGCCTCCCATAGCTGCTGCCAGGCCCCTAATCTGCCATGGGCCCCTATATACCGCCTCCTCATGCTGCTGCCAAGTCCAGAGTCTGTCATGGGTCCCTGTACGGGCCTCCCATTGCTGCTGTCTCCATCGCCACACTCTGCCATGTGCCACTTTCAGGTCTCCTCACACACTGCTGTTGTGTAGAATTTTTTGACATAGGGTGCTGGCAGATTACGGGCCTCCTATAGCTGCTGCCAGGCCCCTAATCTGCCATAGGCCCCTATATACCCGCCTCCTCATGCTGCTGCCAAGTCCAGAGTCTCTCATGGGTCCCTGTACGGCCTCCCATTGCTGCTGTCTCCATCGCCACACTCTGCCATGTGCCACTTTCAGGTCTCCTCACACACTGCTGTTGGGTTCAATTTTTTGACATAGGGGTGCTGGCAGATTACGGGCCTCCCATAGCTGCTGCCAGGCCCCTAATCTGCCATGGGCCCCCATATACCGCCTCCTCATCTGCTGCTGCCAAGTCCAGAGTCTGTCATGGGTCCCTGTACGGCCTCCCATTGCTGCTGTCTCCATCGCCACACTCTGCCATGTGCCACTTTCAGGTCTCCTCACACACTGCTGGTGTGTTGAATTTTTTGACATAGGGTGCTGGCAGATTACGGGCTCCCATAGCTGCTGCCAGGCCCCTAATCTGCCATGGGCCCCTATATACCGCCTCCTCATGCTGCTGCCAAGTCCAGAGTCTGTCATGGGTTCCTGTACGGCCTCCCATTGCTGCTGTCTCCATCGCCACACTCTGCCATGTGCCACTTTCAGGTCTCCTCACACTGCTGGTGTGTTGAATTTTTTGACATAGGGTGCTGGCAGATTACGGGCCTCCTATAGCTGCTGCCAGGCCCCTAATCTGCCATAGGCCCCTATATACCGCCTCCTCATGCTGCTGCCAGGTCCAGAGTCTCTCATGGGTCCCTGTACGGCCTCCCATTGCTGCTGTCTCCATCGCCACACTCTGCCATGTGCCACTTTCAGGTCTCCTCACACACTGCTGGTGTGTTGAATTTTTTGACATAGGGTGCTGGCAGATTACGGGCCTCCCATTGCTGCTGCCAGGCCCGTAATCTGCCATGGGCCCCCGTACCGCCTCCTCATGCTGCTGCCAGGTCCAGAGTCTCTCATGGGTCCCTGTACGGCCTCCCATTGCTGCTGTCTCCATCGCCACACTCTGCTATGTGCCACTTTCAGGTCTCCTCACACACTGCTGGTGTGTTGAATTTTTTGACATAGGGTGCTGGCAGATTACGGGCCTCCCATTGCTGCTGCCAGGCCCGTAATCTGCCATGGGCCCCTGTACCGCCTCTTCATGCTGCTGCCAGGTCCAGAGTGTGTCATGGGTCCCTGTACGGCCTCCCATTGCTGCTGCCAGGAGGCAGCAGGGTCGCAGCAGTGTCAGTGGAGGCAAACGGCCACGGAGTAGAGCACCAGCTCCACTGCAGCCTACCACCCGGCGCCAGTAGTGGTGTCGGTGTGCACGGAGGAAGTAGCAGTCAGCCAGTGAGGAGTAGCGGGGGCAAAGTTTCCTACTCGGCGGTGTGGCAATTTTTCGTCAAGCCGCCCGAGGAAGGTAAACGTAGCCGTATGTCGACTATGTGGCCAGAAAGTCAAGCGTGGCCAGGGGGCCCATGTTGGGACTACAGCGTTGCGTCAGCATATGCAGCGTCGCCATTCGGTGGCCTGGGAAAACCGTGATACGGCGGTTCTGCCTGCCCCAGCCCAGGGTTCCATTTTGTCATAGGGTGCTGGCAGATTACGGGCATCCCATTGCTGCTGCCAGGCCTTAATCTGCCATGGGCCCCTGTACCGCCTCCTCATGCTGCTGCCAGGTCCAGAGTCTGTCATGGGTCCCTGTACGGCCTCCCATTGCTGCTGTCTCCATCGCCACACTCTGCCATGTGCCACTTTCAGGTCTCCTCACACACTGCTGGTGTGTTGAATTTTTTGACATAGGGTGCTGGCAGATTATGGGCCTCCCATAGCTGCTGCCAGGCCCCTAATCTGCCATGGGCCCCTATACCGCCTCCTCATGCTGCTGCCAGGTCCACAGTCTCTCATGCCATGTGCCACTTTCAGGTCTCCTCACACTGCTGGTGTGTTTGAATTTTTTGACATAGGGTGCTGGCAGATTACGGGCCTCCCATAGCTGCTGCCAGGCCCCTAATCTGCCATAGGCCCCTATATACCGCCTCCTCATGCTGCTGCCAGGTCCAGAGTGTCTCATGGGTCCCTGTACGGCCTCCCATTGCTGCTGTCTCCATCGCCACACTCTGCCATGTGCCACTTTCAGGTCTCCTCACACACTGCTGGTGTGTTGAATTTTTTGACATAGGGTGCTGGCTGATTACGGGCCTCCCATAGCTACTGCCAGGCCCCTAATCTGCCATGGGCCCCTATACCGCCTCCTCATGCTGCTGCCAGGTCCAGAGTCTCTCATGGGTCCCTGTACGGCCTCCCATTGCTGCTGTCTCCATCGCCACACTCTGCCATGTGCCACTTTCAGGTCTCCTCACACACTGCTGGTGTGTTGAATTTTTTGACATAGGGTGCTGGCAGATTACGGGCCTCCCATTGCTGCTGCCAGGCCCGTAATCTGCCATGGGCCCCCGTACCGACTCCTCATGCTGTGACGTTGCAACAAGGTGGAATTCAACCCTACATATGTTAAGACCCCGCCTTTTTAATTTTTTTTTTTGTTAGACCGCCTTTTTTACGAACAGCAAAAGGCCATCACAGATTTCCTGATGTTAAAAGCGGATAAAGGTACTCCCTGTGTAACTTAGATGTCAACCATTGGCAGCTCATGCGTTACACCTGCGCTTGCTCAGGCCCTTTGAGGAGGCCACGCTATTCGTGAGTCGGCAGGACTATGGGATGAACGACGTCATTCCTCTGTTGCACGTCCTGGAACAAATGCTGTTAATAATGGCTGGTCAGGGTGCGGTAGACGTGGCGCACAGATCTCAACGCCACATGACCCATGTGGGGGCAGGACAGGAAGAAGAGGAGGAGGTAGAGGAGGACATTGGTGCTCAGGAATTATTGAGTGAAATGGGTGTTTTTTCCACTCAGCGGACAGGAGTGGAGGAGCAGGAGCATCTGGTAGAGGAGGAGAAAGAGGAGACAGAGGACCCAGACGCACCGTGGCAGTATGCTGTGGAGATGGAGGCAGGGAGTCCCTCGCATTCCTTGGCACAAATGGCCCATAGCATGCTCGCTTGCTTGCGTAGCGACAGCCGAATAATAACCATCAGACAGAGGGATGACTTTTGGCTGTCCACCTTGTTGGACCCTCGCTACCGTTCCAAAATGGTGGCCTTTTTCACACCTGCTGAGAGGGAGGCCAAAATAACGTACTATAAAAACCACCTATGTAGCCAGATGGTCTCTGCCTGTCTGCGCCAACGTCCATCCTCAGACACTGTGGGCCCTGTGCGCTCATCGCGTTCCGCTGCCATGGCAGCAGGGGAGGGTGGGGTGGTAGGAGCAGTGGCAGCTCCACCAGCAGCAGCTGCCTCAGTCTGCAGTCGATGATGAGTAGCTTTCTTCACCAGCGCAGTGAGGAAACTAATAACCAGCCGCAGCAGCAGCAGCATCAGGTGGACCTGGAGCAGGACCTCAAACAACAGGCTTAGGCCTACTTGGACAGCACCCTGCCAACCGAGGTAGACAATCCCCTTGACTACTGGGCAACGAAACTTGACCTTTGGCCCCAACTAGATGAATTTGCCCTTGAAAGGCTGTCATGCCCGGCCAGTAGCGTGGCATCGGAGCGCGTGTTTAGTGCGGCAGGAGGTATTGCAACTCCGCAGAGGACACGACTGTCCACCCAAAGTGTGGAGAGACTCACGTTTGTGAAAATGAATCAGGCGTGGATTAGTCTGGATTTCAAACCACCAGTTCCTGACACAACTGACTAAATCCGCCATGAATCATGCCCCAAACATGTGCCACTTTCAGGTCTCCTCACACTGCTGGTGTGTTCCATTTTTTGTCATAGGGTGCTGGCAGATTACGGGCCTCCCATAGCTGCTGCCAGGCCCCTAATCTGCCATGGGCCCCTATACCGCCTCCTCATGCTGCTGCCAAGTCCAGAGTCTGTCATGGGTCCCTGTACGGCCTCCCATTGCTGCTGTCTCCATCGCCACACTCTGCCATGTGCCACTTTCAGGTCTCCTCACACTGCTGGTGTGTTGAATTTTTTGACATAGGGTGCTGGCAGATTACGGGCCTCCCATAGCTGCTGCCAGGCCCCTAATCTGCCATAGGCCCCTATATACCGCCTCCTCATGCTGCTGCCAAGTCCAGAGTCTGTCATGGGTCCCTGTACAGCCTCCCATTGCTGCTGTCTCCATCGCCACACTCTGCCATGTGCCACTTTCAGGTCTCCTCACACACTGCTGGTGTGTTGAATTTTTTGACATAGGGTGCTGGCAGATTACGGGCCTCCTATAGCTGCTGCCAGGCCCCTAATCTGCCATGGGCCCCTATACCGCCTCCTCATGCTGCTGCCAGGTCCAGAGTCTGTCATGTGTCCCTGTACGGCCTCCTATTGCTGCTGTCTCCATCGCCACACTCTGCCATGTGCCACTTTCAGGTCTCCTCACACTGCTGGTGGGTTCCATTTTGTCATAGGGTGCTGACAGATTACGGGCCTCCCATTGCTGCTGCCAGGCCTGTAATCTGCCATGGGCCTCCGTACCGCCTGGTCACGCTGCTGCTGGGTCCACAGTGTGACATGGGTCCCTGTACCGCCTCCCATTGCTCCCACTCTGCCATGTGCCACTTTGAGGTCTCCTCACACTCCTGCTGGTTTCCCATTTTGTCATAGGTTGCTGTATGGCCTCCCATTGCTGCTGCCTCCACCGCCACACTGTGGCTCCAAACACTGGTTTTGGCCCCGTGACTGGCCAAATGAGTGAAGTGTGCGGTGATTCTAAGATCGACGGCACTCATCTGCATGTCATACTGACTGATAGTATTATTTCTCTTCCCCAGCAGACTCCAAGGGCATTTAAATTAAAGGTACAGTGTTCTGCACTAATATTAAGTCTCTCTGAAGCCTAGAAACACCCTTTTTTAAGTTAAATTCACAGCGAATATATTCGACTCGAATCGAATATTGTCCACGAATTCGCCGAATCAGTCGAATCGAATTTTTGAATACTTCGCTCATCTCTAGCCCCTACCATGATAAATGACCAAATCCTGATAAAGACACAAGGGGAATAAAACTTAAAAATAATAAACATAAATGCAAAGAAAAATAGCCTCTATGTTTTAAGATTAAGGAAAACCATCAAATGACTTGCCTTTCTGGCAAAATAGTTTTACCCACAGTCCTTATTCCCGAGTTCAATATATCATGAGGAGATTAGCAAACAATTTGAAGAGTTTTATTCCACCTATATACAGAACATTTATGCCTCATGCACACAGGACATTTTTACTGCCATTTTTAGGGTTGTCAGGCTTTTTTTTTCCTGTTTCCAAACGCCCCTCCATGTTAGAGTATGTGTCCATGCACACATAGACTTTTAGCAGCTTTTAGTGGCAGGGGACTTTAGAGGCAGCAAAAAACCCACTGCCAATGCATCCAACAGTATCAGCATCTTGGCAGAAAAAAATGCTTCATGCTTTTAAACACATGGAAACAAGTCTAAACATGTGTTAATGCTGGGCATGTTTTAGCGTTTGAGCATTAATTCATTTCAATGGCCAGAATAAATTATTATTCTGGCAAATTAAATGAATTAATGCCAAAGGACTTAATGAGTGTAAAACGCGCCTACACGCTTGTAAAAGTGTTAGCCACTTTTGCAAGCATCAGGTGATTTTTCTGCACAAATGCTAATGTTCCTGGATGCACACTTGCATGAGGCCTTAGAAGGTCCTATTCTTCACATGACACTTTCTAGATAACATCAAGTTCCTGACACTTAATAGGTGCTTAGATACCCCTTTTACAGAGGAAGAAGTTACAACTGCTTTCTACTCCTTCCCTTCACAAATTCCAGATATTGATGGCCTATTCATCAAATGGTATAAACTCAATTTAGACCTCATTATCCTCAAACTACTTGAGGTCTATCAACAAGCTCTTAGTCAGAGATTGTTGTCAGACTCAATAAAAAATAGCCAATAATTGTTCTTCCCAGATCTGGCAAGATCACTGAGTTGTACATATTGTTCCTCATTTATGCAAAATAACATATTAAAATCCTGGCCAAATTTCTGGTTAACTTGCTAAAGTTATTCTGAATATCACAGAGCCTGATCAAATGGCCCTGAAAACAGACCTTTACAAATATTAGAAGATTATACCTTAATATGCATGCAGCACAGCAATGTAGTTAATCTGGACTTGTGGTGTCCCTTGATACCTTTTATTTCTGTAGAGTGTAAATATTAATGGACAGCACTGCAAAAATAGGTTATGTACTCCAATTAATCAGTTAGATTAAACTACTCTACACTAATCCATTAGCTAAGGTGCATACAAAAAAAAAATCACAATTCTTCCTCTATCAAATTACAAGGGGAAACAAGGGGTGTACTCTACTCCTCTTTTTGCTTGCATTGGTGATATAGACTTTTGAGACAATTCACAGTAATTAGGGGATTTATCCAGGGTAGACCAGAGGAAATGTTTGTTTGTAATTGGGTAGTGTGTCAATATTGATGCTGCTTTATATTTAGGGCTGAGGCACACTTTTTAAGCATAGAGTAACGGGAATATCATCAGCTGCTTAGAGTGTGTGCCCATTACATGATTTTGCAGTATAGCAAGCATATAGATTGCAGGAGGGTATAGCAGATACCTTTCAGAGTTTTCTTCCACAGTAAGTTGTAATGTTGGAAAAAACGTGAGTAGTGCCCATCAGTATTGCAGAACAATGGTAACACTTAGTAAAGAGGTTGATTGCCAATTTATACATTTATAGCAAGTATGATATATTCCTGTGAATGAAGCAGAGCTGTGAATGAAGACCCTGGGTACTGATACCTGTAGAATAGAAGGTTTCCTCCTCCTCTTTGAAGTCTTTAGTTAAGTTGGTATGCCCAATAGAAGTGGCAAGAGCTTAACTTTTTCAGGTGTTCAAAGGAAACTCTTTGTGATTGTCATACGGTGGTGAAAATGCACAGTTCTCTTACCCAGGGTTTTGGTTTAATGTCCTGCTACAATGCATACTGTATATCAAGAGAACCATTCTTGTACATTTATAAAGGAATCCCCAAAAAAGTTACTTAAAGGGTTACTATACCAACAGCAGTAAAATTAGTCTGTATATGCAGTAAAGCATGCATGTTATACTCACTGTGAAACCTAAAGGGTTAATCCTCTGCACTGTGTAAAAAAGGCTGTTTGATCCTGTCTTCTCTGATCCTCCCCTTCTATTACTGTCTCCAATCCACTTGCCGTAGTACAGAGCAGCAGTGGCAAGTGTGCACATGCCCTGTTTTGTGTGTATTGCTAGAGAGTTTTTTTATTCAGGGGGGGTGCGTGTAATCAGCGTGTAATCAGCACAGGGCCAATCAGTATTGTCCAGACAGAGAGTCAGGGGTCATACAGCCTCATAGGACAGTCAGTGGAAAATGAAAACTCCTCCTACAAGACTAACTAGTGACACTGATAGAAGTCACAAAATTGCTATATGCTGCGGATGAGAAAAAGTATTTATCAGTTTATATTTACTAAAGTAATTGCATTTCCATGTTCTGTACTGTGGGAGAAGAGCTATAGTGAATGCAGGGTCATGGGTTTAGTAACACTCTAACAAAACCTGCATATGATTCCGGTATTGCAGCTGCTATGATTGTCGCCATATTTTCAACAGAAGGTTTAAGCAAGTCACTAACTTATGTCACTTAGGTTGACCAGAAGTAATGTTGAAAGCATCTTTGTGCACCTGTAGATTAAATCTTTTGATATGTGAAACCATCCCATTCCAAACAAAAGAAAATGTATAGGAATAAAAAGTGTTACTTTGAAATACATATCAGGGGAGAACATAGGATAACTTTGGAAGATAGATCCTTTTGACTTCTGAGATTTAGGAATCTCCCTAAGTTTAAATGGGGGGATTTGTCAAATAGTTTAGTGGCCAAGTTTGGACTACTGGGGGTCAGACTAAGTTTTACATAATGTTGTAATGGGGATATGAGCATGATCCTTAGATATTTAAATTTGTCAGCTCAGTGTAGTAGGGTTTTTTATAGGGTCTGCACAACCCCCCAAATTTCCATGTTGGAAATATAAGATATTTGTCCAGGTTATCTCTTTCATAGACTGTGACTTTTAACATTCACTGGGTAGGTCTATTATTCCTGATTAAAACTGCTGACTAATTTTTACACTGCTGTATCCTCTGTGGAATATTATTTTTTTTTACTAATAGGTAAAAAAAAATGGTTAGAATTAACAAAACAAAATGGTAAATTATATAACTATTTCTAGACTATACAAATAAACAATAAGTTATATAGTAGATGCATATACACTCATAGGCCTTATAAAATAAGCTGCATAAGCAGATTAAATTCCTTTTCCACAACAAAAAAGGTGATTCTGCCACAATATCTGTGTCAGGTAAGAGAGTAATGTTTGCTTTCAAGAAATATTCATGAACTTTGATCTGCTTGGCCTCCATTCGGTCACCACAACAAAGTAAGCTGGATAGAAGGCATTTTCTTTGGCATCCACATTATTCCTTTTCAGATCAGCTATTTTATTTGGTTTTGAGTGAAATATCTTTGTTGCCAGGCATATCAAGAATATTTCATAGGAATAAACCTCTTTGACAACTGAGCTGTTCTTCCTTAATTCAAGAAATATGATCACTTTTAATCATTATAGTGAGGTTAAAGGCTAATTCCACATTTCTGATGTTGTTTCATGTTACTCATAGTACTTCATGGTACCTTTCCCCAGCTTCCCACTCTCAAATTGTCCTCCCACTACTTGAATCATGGGGTGCTTCCCCCTGTAAGCTTCTTTTTTTATAATCTTTATTTCTGATTTTCCAAAATAAATATATCAATAGTATAAAGTACAAAACACATGTAAAACATTTCCACTCTCCCCCACCCAAGACACTCCTATGCCAATACCTCCCCACCTGACTTATATCAGATATCTACCTCAATTTGGTAAAATCGGTCTATACCTTTAGCAGAGAAACAGCCCCAAAGCATATTTCCACCTCCATGCTTGACTGTAGGGATGGTGTTCTCAGGGTCATAGTCAGAATTTTTCTTCCTCCAATTACAGCGAGTCGAGTTCATGCCAAAAAGCTCAGTTTTGGTCTTATTTGACCACAGCACTTTCTCCCAATCCTTCTCTAAATCACTTAGATGTTCATTGGCAAACTTCAGATGGACCTTGTGGGTGCTGCAGGATTTCAATCCATGACAGTGTATTGTGTTACCAATGGTTTGTTTGGTAACTGTGGTCTCAACTGCCTTGAGATCATTTGCAAGCTCCTCCCATGTAGTTCTGGGCTAATCCCTCACTTTTCTCATGATCATCCTTACCCCATGAGGCAAAATCTTGCATGGAGCTCCAGACCGAGGATGATTGATGGTTATTTTGTATTTTTCCATTTGCGAATAAAGGTTCCAACAGTTGTCTCCTTCTCACCAAGCTTCTTGCTGATGGTCTTGTAGCCCATTCCAACCTTGTGCAGGTCTACAATCTCATCCCTGATGTCCTTTGACAGCTCTTTGGTCTTGCCCATGGTGATGGTGAGGTTTGAATGGAAGAAAGATTCTGTGGACATGTGTCTTTTATACACATAACAAGTTGTTGTTTAGGAGCATATTCTTATATTGACAGGACTAATCTGTGTACCACATGAGCACATAGCCAGTCTGTGGGAGCCAGAATTATTGCTGGTCCTTAGAGGATCAAATACTTAGTCTACTCACTGAACTGCAAATCAATTTTCTGGATTTTTGGTTGATATTCTGTCTCTATCATTTAAAAAACACCTATTATAAAAATTATAGACCCTTCATTTCTTTGTAAGTGGGCAAACTTAAAAAATCTG